GTCGCTCTAGCCCGGCTCGGGGGGAATCCGCCGTCCTCACCTTGGCCTCCAGTCCGCGCACGGCGCCCCGCGGTTGCTCTCCCTGCCGGCCTCCCCGCCAGGCGCTGCCCCGCTTGCCGCCCACCATGGCCCTGCTGCACTCAGGACGCGTCCTCTCCGGAGTGGCCTTCCATCCAGGCCTTGCCGCCGCAGCCTCTGCCAGAGCCAGGTAAGCCGGAGGGATACTGAGATGGCGGCCCGCCCGGCCCAGCCGAGCTGCGGGCGCCGCGGGACCCCGGGGGGCGCCGCGGGACCCCGGGACCCCCCCCCGCGTGCACGCGCTCACGCACGCTTGCTCGTTTCCCCCACCACCCCCGGGGGTGGAGGATGCAGCGTTCCCCTCGGCGGTGAGCCTCGGGGCCCCGCATCCCTCCCGCAGAGCGAGCCAGCGCAATCCCCGGCACGGGCACCGTAGCCTCGGCGGCCCCTGGACCCCACTCAAGGCGGGCTCGGGGGTACCGAGAGGGTGCGGTGGGTGCGGGGCCGAGGCCGTGGCCGAGCACGCGGGCGGCCGGATCGGGCCACCCTCGCGCTGATTGGCTGCGGAGCTGGGCCAGCCGCTCCCTGATTGGCTGTGGGCCGGGGCCGGGGTCGCTTGCCCTTGACCGGCCGGCTTGGGGAGCGGCGGGGTGCACCTGTCGTCACCTACCGAGGCCCCCGCGGAGTTCGGTGGGGCCCGCTGGGGTATCGGCACGCTTGAGGACGGTTCTGAGGTGCCAGCCTTGGCACCCCGCTTCCCTGTCTGCGTCCCGTGACCTTGGGAAAGGATTGGGTGGGAAAGTGGGAAAGGATTGGGTGTTTTCCTGCGCGCTTCTTTTTGTTTGTTTGTTTGTTTGAAACCCTTCGGATGTTCAGCCGATGAGAAGTCATTAGTCCTCCCGCTACATCTCACCCTGCTCTTGCGTTCCGTTAAAAAGAACATTTCATAATCCAGGTTCCCCGAGCCAAGCCCTGGACCACAATGCTGGCCAGTCTGCAGCGAGCCAGACAAGGCTCGGCTCAAAAAGTGGCAAATGTAGCCGGCCAGCGGTGACTGGCTCACGCCTGTAATCCTAGCTACTCAAGAGTCTGAAATCTGAAGATCTTGGTTCGAAGCCAGCCCAAGCAGGAAAATCCATGAGACTCATACCTCTAAATAACCACTAGAAAACCAGAAGTGGAGCTAGAGCCTAAGTGGTAGAGTGCCAGCCTTGAGCAAAATAAGCTTAAGGACAGCGCCCAGACCTTGAGCTCAAGCTCCAGAACTGGCACGGGCACACACACACATACAGTGGCAGGTGTATCATTTTGAACTGTGATGTGTAGTGCATAGGGGAAAATTAGGGCATAAAAGTGAGTGATTTCTGTCTGAGCCAAGCCCTCAAAAACTCAGGATTGGGAAAAAGTCCTTAAAGCCATTTGGGGGCACATATTAACTCCCAGGAACATAGCCTTGCCTTTTATATGAGCTGTGGCCTTTCCATTGGAAGTACAAAGGAGATCCCTCCGTGCTAATAGAACAGTTTGTCCTCCCTGAAATCTCTTGGCAGTACAGTTTTGCCAGGGCTTCTCATTCCTCTTCCTGATTTGGCTAGCTATCATTTCTTGCTCTTTAAGCCTTCCTACCTAATCAAGCAGAATTAGGAAGGAGTTATTTATGTAGCAGATTTAGAGAAAGGAGTGGTTTTTGCTTGCAGTGGAAAGTCTGGTTCACCATTATAAGTATCCATAAACTCCTTCCTTGTTTTGTTGATTTGCTGTGAGCCTGAAGCCTCCATTTAAAAGCCTTTTTAGTCATGCCTTCAGCTTAAGAATCTATTAGTCACATGAGAGCTGAAAATCTGCTTTGTTCAGTGTTACAGCTCAGCATTTGGTGCCTAGCATGTCTCTCAAATTGAATTATTTTACTTCAGAGCTGTTTTTTTAAACAAATATGACATTTTAATGTTGCATGTTTAGATCAAAATCTAAACACAAATGGGAACCTTAGTACTGCAAAGTATGTAACAAATTGTTAGAATATTTGATCAGTTAAAGAGGAGGAGCTGTTGCTCATGCTTAAACAATGAACCAGGATTGAATGAAGGCACCAGGTGAGCTATCTGGCTGTGCTACTTACTTTTCAAGGGTGATATACCAACCTTCACTCCTTTTATGTGAAAGTGATCTTCATCTAGAGCCAAATGGAAAGGTGGGAAATGTGCAAAACACACTAAATCCATTGAAAAAAATTTTTGTTGTGTTCTGGAGGGGATTGAGACAGGATCTTGCTTTGTTCCCCAGGCTGGCCTTTAACTTTAAATCCTCCTAACTCAGCTCCCTAAATGCTAGGATTAAAAATGTGTGAGACAGGACACCAGTGGCTCATACCTGTATGTAATCCTAGCTGTTGGGAGGCTGAGATCCCAGGATCACTATGCAAAGCCAGCCCAGGCAGGAAATTCCATAAGACTGTTATCTTCAGTTAACCACAGAAAAGCAGGAAATGGAGGCCTGGCTGAAGTGGTAGAGTACTAGTGTTGAGCACAAAAGCTCAGGGATAGTGCCCAGACCTAGAGATCAGGCGCCAGGACTAACACACACACAAAAGCATATGAGACCATATCTGGCTCTTTCAATGAATAAATGAACAAATGAATGGAAAGGAAGGAAGGAACAAAGAAAAGCTCATTCTCACTAGGCACTGGTGACTCACACCTCTAATCCTAGTTACTCAGGAGACGGGAGATCTAAGGATCATGGTTACAAGCTAGACTAGGCAGAACAGTCTCAATCTTATTTCCAATTAACCAGCAAAAAGCTGGAAGTGGAGGTGTGGCTCAGGTTGGTAGAGTGCTCTGCCTGGGAGGGGGCACAACTAAGAGCTGCAGGCTCTGAATTCAAGCCCCAATACTAGCACAAGAAAAGGAAAGGAAAAGGAAGCTCATTCTAATGCATAAAACCTTGGTAATTGATGTTCTTGAGAGCTAAGGATTTATCCAAGGGAATTTAAAATTTCTGTACTCATATCACTTAAATAGATCTCTTTCTAAATGCAAGTGTATGAGTTAGCTGTTTTGGGTTTTTTG